TTCGATATTCAATGCCCTAGCGCTAAGTTAATCCCACGAGTGCATAAAAGATTGACATAACTGCTATAATGAATGGTAATACTCAGCGTAAACTTGTTATGTCAGGCATAAAGTACTAAACCCACGAATTTACGAAGCATTTTTAAATTCCCATGAGCAAACAAACGTTCACTTTACAAAGATATTTTAATTTTTTAAAACAAATTAATCACCCTGTCAAAATCCTTTGTGTTACGGCAATGAAATTCGAACAATACGTTATTTCAATGATTTTGGTTTTTTTTGAGACACCCTGTACAGGGTGTATCAAAAAAACGCAACCTCGGAATTTCCTAAGAAATCACCTTGCAATTCTTAAGCATAAAAGATTTCAGGCCCCTGGGAATTGAAATCGAATTGCTAATAGATCATATTACTGTTGTTGTGCATTAAATAAATGCATAAATTTTGCTTTATGCACTCGCGTGTGCAGTAATTTTGACAGTTATGCCATTTTAAATTCCCAGGCGTCTAAAATCTTTTGTCTTTAAAACAATGTCGATTTCTTGGGAAATTCCAAGGTTGCGCTTTTTTTGATACACCCTGTATATCTGATAAAACTCATCTTCATTATAATTCTTTATATAATTGTTCATCCTAATTAGTATGATTATATAATTGTTCATCCTAATTAGTATTCTTTTGTAGTCGTATTTAAGTATTTTAAGCCATTCAAAACACTCGTTGTCGTATAAAACAATAATACTCGTTCAGTGAACGAGTATTATTGCGGTTGTCGTGTTTTATCAGATATAAAACGCTCGGCTGCGCCTCGCGTTTCGCGTTGCGCCATTGTTGTCAAGTAAAGAGAATTTCATTGGCTGACTGACTAAATAAAATAAGTCGTAATTTGATCTTTCCGGCAAATCGTTGCAGAAAATCAAATTGATATATCAAGTTCCACTGGCACGCTTTCGGAAAGTACGACAGTAAAACGTCACCTTGGCTATACGAGAGTGCCACGCTTGGTTTCAATAAATGTCACATGCACGATCAAAGGCCGTTGCCGACTCACAGATGAGATCAAATGAAAGTGACAGCAGTTTGCAAACGTGTTTTGTCAAACGGGCACCTTGGCACCGTGCGAATTTTGCCATTTGTCGCGCTTCCTTTGCCAAATCAAAAGAACGAACGCGTGCTCCAGCCCGTTTTCCGGTTCTGAAAGGCCCGATTCACAGCCCAAATGGGACAAGTCACCCGCAACATCCGTGAGTCAAAAACGAGGCTCCATAGCCAAAGTGACGCACTTTCTGTAAGCATGTATTTGGTTGCCTCGCAGAACACTGATACACACGTGCCACCTCTTCTGTGGCAGCAATGCAATGGAATTTGACTCGTTGCGTCACGTTGCCGGCACAGATGACGTGTATAGTTCTAAAACAGTAATATTGAGTTCAGGGACGCCGGAACTGGGAGGGGGGGGCAGGAGGGGCAGTCGCCCCCGTTGCCCTTTACCAGGAGGGGCAAGGGGGGGCAAAAGTGCCCTTTCAATTTAAAGGATTGCCTTGGCGAAATAGCGAATTGTCAGAAATGTTTTGTGCAATTTTTTTACGAATTTGCTTCAGAAAATGCAACAAATGCAGTCATCGAGCTTCAAGAATAGCACAATCACCTGGCGGAGAACCCCCTCACACCCCTATCATCCAATAAATAGAAAACATGATTAGGCGAAGTTCAACTCCCGATGTTTTGCAAACATCTCTTAGTATATATCAATTCAAAAGTGCCCTTTCACGAAAATCTGCCCCCCTTGCCTTCACATCGTTCCGGCGTCCCTGGTTAAGTTACTGAACTACTCAGAACCTTGGATTTTTTAGGTGATCTCACAGAACTGGATAATTTACAAACTATGACATGCTGCTATTTTATGTCTTTTGTGCAGTGATAAAATTTCTTTAAAATAACTCCCGAGTTATTCTCTTGACATGACAAAGAAACTATGCCAGGCGAAGAGAAAAAATAGCACTAAAAAATGCCCGTTGCCCGACACTTAAAACGCCCTCGCTTCGACGGAACAACAGCGTGGGTTAAATGCCATAATTAATGCGCGGTCATTTAATATCAATTAACATAAACGAGCCCACGGGTGGCTGAGGTTCTGAACGAGTGAGTGTTAATTTGTTTGGCTGTGAAAATGTCGAAAGCAGAAGGTAAGCTGTAATTTGTTACATTCTTACATTTATTCTATATCATTCGTTTCACTAAACTCGATTCTACAATGTTAACCCTTTAAAAGCTTAGTCCATCCTTCAATTTTGACGTAAATTCGTCGAATAGTATTTATTCTAGAGCGAAAGAAGCATAGTTTACATTATATTATCCATCGTGTTTAAGTAGGTCTCAAAAGGACACGGCTCGATATCACAGTGCTATGTCAGGCATCAATTAATCACTAACTATTAATTGCTACATTTCAGGCCCACCGCCAGTCCAACCCAGACCTTCCGTGTCGAAACGACCGTCCTTTAACACGGGCTCAGCCCCACAGATACAGTCTAGACCGAAACAGGTACTATGCCGTTTCATTTCATGTTTAAGTTAACAAATTAACGCTTTTGCATTTAATCGCTGTCAGACAGAATCAAAACAAACGGGTCAGAATATCAATCGCTATATAATACCTCGCTGCGCTTATTTGTTGTTTAGCGTTACGACAACCGCCGAATTGTTTGGGAGATCTACCCTGTTTTATAAATCGATATTGCTTCAGAGTTGTGCTCTTTGCCATTTACGTATTCTGAAGTTAAGAGTGTCGCGCGCAGCGAAAGTGTTTATCCTCAACAATCATGTTTATTTTGTTAACCTCCGTGAGTTCTTAGTGAAAAGGTATGACACTATAATGGTTTAAATCATCAGTTCAAACTCGGAATTTCACCATCTGTACATTTTGAAGCGGCTGGAATATCATGAAGCATGATAACAAAGTGATATTGAAATTTATCCTGTTCAAAACAAACTAGGATTGTCTCAAATGTCGGTCCGATCCAGCGTTAGGAAGTGTTTTACCAGACCTCTGAAATGAGTGCTCAACTGACCCATGGTTTGTGTCTGAGCAACCTAAAAAGAGATATCTAGAACGTGGGGGTTTAGTGTAGGTAGTATTCTACAATAAGCTGCCTTGGTTTATGTCTGAACTACCTCATCGAGAATGATATCTCAAACGTGCACGAGGTTCAGTGACGGCTGTATTCTTACAAGCTTCCGTGGTTTGTCGTCTGAACTGTCTGAAAAAGATACTTGAACGTGGTGGGGGCCAGTGCAGGAGCTTTTAAACCAATACGTTACCATGGTTTGTATACGAACTACCTAAAAATTTGAGGTTCCTTCGAGTGGTGCTTATTTTCATCAGATAGTTCAAACACAAGCCAAAAATTACACTGTTTCATAATGCTTTATAGCGTGGCCACAGACAGTACGTACTATAGTCTTCCAAATTATCACAAGATTAGCCTATAATACAGTAATAGGAGTGTATAGAGTAGAGTCTTCGAGCATATAGTGCTGATAAAATTTAAGGTTTCAATTGCAAGTATATACCGGCATAATTTAGCCTGCATGTAACCCCAGTGAGACAATCCAAAACAAACTAAACTCTCTTCAAAAAGCTTCGGTGGTCCACTCTCGATTCAATAGACAATATAGCTCGGTTTTTCTAAGTATTTAAAAATGATTAATTGGAGTGTAAATATTCAAAGATATACACAGTACAGTATATGTCTATGATCATCATGAGAACAACTGGCTCTCGCATAGATAATTATGGACTGAGTAATAATAATAATATTAGCGTCTTTGTTTGAAAGTATAAGCAATGTTATTGTATATCTTTGTGAGTGACCTTTGCGATATTAATATAAACGGAAATGCATAAGTTCCGTCATGCGTGTCCTGGCACGCTAGATAGAAATGTCAGATCAATCATAACTTTGCTTTTAATGGAAACTCTATGTAAATATTTTCTTTTTTCGAGTTGATAATTGTTCCATTTTATTTACTCGGCGATATGGATAAAAACTGCTTGAACACTTTGATATTTTAAGCAAAAACCCTTTGTATCATCTAGGCCGATGTAATATAATCATTCAGCAATCTCATGACCATGGAATATGACGTACGGGATTATTGACCGATTTTTCACTATAAAGGAAATTTGTTCGCACGAAACGAATCGGAAAGCTAATTTGAGAATACTACCTACACTGGACCACCACGTTTGAGATAGTTCCAGGTAGTTTAGTCGGTAAAGTTTAGACACGAAGGTCACAAACCACGGCAGCTTATTCTAGAACTACCTGCACTGGACCATATACTAAAACTGTCTGTACCAGTGTAGGTAGTACCAATGTAGAAATGCTGAGTGGTTATATTACTACCTTAAAAAATAAGCAGAAACTCGACGTTTCGAGCGAAGGCCCTCCCAACTCTTGGCGAAGGGCCTTCGCTCGAAACGTCGAGTTTCTGCTTATTTTTTAAGTTAAGGTAGTAATATAACCACTCAGCACTGCACTGGACCACCATATTTGAGATATATTTTTCAGGTAGTTCAGACACAAACCACGGCAGTTTATTGTAGAATAGTACCTACACTGGACCACCACGTTTGAGATATCTTTTTCAGGTAGTTCAAACACAAACTACGACATCTTATTGTAGAATACTACCTACACTGGACCACCACGTTTGAGATATCTTTTTCAGGTAGTTCAGACACAAACCACGTTATCTTAAGCTACGTTTACACGCTGCGATTTATCGGGACGATTTTGGTAAATAATCGATGCCCTTTCTTCGACATTTAGCGATTTAAACGTTCAATTGAAGCTGTCAAGTAGTTCCAAAGAAGATTCCCGTTCTTTCAAGAATACGGTCATGCCCAAAGCACATCAGATTATTCTAGAATATTACCAACACCCTATACTTATAAAGTACTATAAATATAATAGTGGAAAAACTATACTTCGTGTCACAGTAGTAAGGTCGTTCGCTTGAAATGTCGATGAAAGTTTAGTCTACAGCTCAATATTACGCCGAATCCGTTTGAACATCATCTGCAATAATCTGTACATTGTACAACCAAAAATCATAAGATCGCCTGATGTCCTTACTTGACGTTTACTATGCTTTCTTGTTCATCCCGCTTTGCATTTTAAAACGGCTTAAAGCCCTCCAAGACCGGCGTCCAAAAATGAACTGCAGCCGTCAAATATGAAACGTAAGCCTCGCGGATGGATAAATGGCTTTCTATGCAATCCATGAAATCCAACAGACGGTTAAAGTTCTTTGTATGTTTGCATGGCGATAAAATATAATAGTTTTGTTTGTGGAAACACCAGACGACTTCACTTTTTATTAGACGGTTAAAGGTTGTCTTACGAATATATTTGTTGGCTATTGTTGCCGTAACAATTTGAGCACGGTTTCCAAATTGCCTGCTCGCAGACGCTTGTATATCACATATGATATGACATATCACATATCAAATATAATATACAAGCGTCTGCGAGCAGGCTATAGGTTTCTAAACGGAGTGAGATGAAAACGGAACGCTTGGCGGCTTCGTGTGAACACAAACGCCGTTACTTTTTTTGTACAGCTTGCAAACGAAACATCTCAGGTCTCAAAACAGTAAATTCGAATGCTTTTCGTTTAAATTTCTCTGATGTAGTGTGAACACACCTACTGTAAATTCTGCTGGCATTATTTCGCTATTATAATGTAATGTTGTCTTAAGAGTATACAGTTTCATATGTGTGTGTACCGTGCGAAAAACATTAAAATCGTAATGCCCCACCGTTGACACCAATTCAAACATTCAGACACATATTATACCTTGACGTTATCAATACTAACATCTTTGATAGGAAACTCCATATCTTGGGTTTGCAAATCTTCCCAATCAAGTCCACAGAAAATCCGTGAAGAAAGGATTCGAGTTCACACTGATGATAATAGGTAAATAATTGAGCCGATTTATCAATTTCATTTCGACAAATCAGTTCTACACACGCAAAATCTCACATCTTGTAGCAAGTCTGCCAACAAGCCGTCGACAAGTTGTGTTCGCACTGCTTGTTCCAAGTTTTCAACAAGTTTGGAACAAGCTGTTAACAACTTGCACATAACAAGTTTGATGGCAGTATCAGACTTGTCGCAAGGTTGTTCCAACAAGTCCGATACAGTCATATGATATAACAATACTGTTACAACCTTGTGTCGTCAACCTTGTAACGACTGTAACATTCTTGTTATATCATGACTGTATCAGACTTGTTAGAACAACCTTGTAACAAGTCTGATAATGCCACCAAGTTTGTTACAAGTTGTTGACAGCTTGTTCCAAACTTGTTACAACAACGGGGAACAAGCAGTGCGAACACAACTTGTCGATAGATTTGTAACAACTTGTTTGCAGACTTGTAACAACTTGTGCATTCTTACATGCGTATAGTAGGCCTATAAATCTCAGCTACTGTAGCATTACCTAGGGTATACAAGATATGACCCACTAATTATACTAATTCATGCATATTTGTTAAACCTTAGGTGAATCAGGTCTTGGCAAATCAACATTAGTCCACAGTTTGTTTATGACAGATCTTTATGAATCCCGACACAAGCCGACCGCGTCAGGTATAAACGACACGAATTTCCTTTCCATTTTAAAATAATATTGAGAAACTTATTTAATAACCAATTTTCGACAGTATTTAATAACACATGAAAATATAAAGCTTTGGGAAACCAAGAAACATTACTACAGGAACAACTGCTTTTTGCCATTGTGGGCAAGGCAGGAAACACTTTTATCTCGTACTCGTAGCCATGTTTCATGAAAGTGCATGGGCAAACCAGGAAATATTGTTTCCTAGACATGTTTCCAGAATGTGGGCGAACAACGTTGGAAATATTGCTTCCTAGCCATGTTTCACTGAAGATGGAGAAACTAAGAAACATTGTCAAATCAAATCATAAATCATTGTTTCCTATTGTTAAGTTTCCAGAATGCGGGAAAACTAAGAAACACTGTTTACTAGTCAAGTTTCCAGAATGTGGACAAACGAGCAAACATTATTTCCTAGCCATATCTCCAGAAGGCGGGCAAATTAAGAAATTAACACTGTTTACTAGCCAAGTTCCCATAAGGCCGACAAACTAGGAAACGTTGTTTCTGAGCCATCAGCCATCTTTCATGAAGGTGGGAAAACTAGGAAACATTGTTTCCTAGCCATGTTGCCCAAAGGGGTAGAAGCAAGGAATCATTGTTTCCTAGCCATGTTTCCCAAAAGTGGCCAAACATTGTTTCCCAGTCATTTTTCCCGATGGTGGACAAATTACTAGGAAACATTGTTTTCTAAACCAAGAAACATTGTTTCCTAGCCATATTTTGCGAAGGTGGGCAAGCCGAGAAATATTGTTTCCTAACCATGCTTTCTGGCTACCGGAAAATTAATTTCCACTTGCTCTTTTGTAGAAATGTTGAAGCGTACCATTCAGATCGATACACACAAAGTGGATATCGAAGAAAAAGGGATAAAACTTAAACTAACCGTTGTAGATACACCTGGCTACGGTGATGCCATCGACAATAGTAACTGGTATAGTAACGGTTCATTTGATTTACCAGGAATTTATCATAATGATTTTAAACACATGAGAGTGCTATTGAAAAATTGAGGTGTTAACTGAGATTTTTAATGTTACGTAGGGACCGCCCATTATTTTTGGCCGGGGGGGGGGCACCGAAGAGAAATGTTTTTCTTGGTAAAACTTTTGCTGATCCAACCATTAAAAAGTCAAAAGATGTTTTACCCAACCTCAAATATCAATTAAACTAAATAAATACCCACTGGCAAAAAATTTTTACAAAAGGATACCATTCAGTTGTCACACATGTCCTTTACCACTTCTGTGACACGAGTTTCATAACAGCGCAATTTTCTGCAGTCTAAAGTTTCATGTTCTCTGCACATGTACTTTCTTTGGAGACACCATTTGCCTCCTGACAAATCGAAAAATGATCAAGATAGCGACTCTGATTGTTTGATTTACATATTTTATTGACACAGGAATGTTGACATTGCTTTTTAGTCTTCAATATTTGAGTATGTCATGCTTTGGAAATGACAATAAATTTTTCACTACCAAACCCTTGAGTTATATTGTTCGTTATCTACCCAACCTTTTACTCATTCAAAATTTTGTTTACCCAACACTTTTCTCTTCAGTGCCCCTCCCCCGCATACATAATAACCGATCTCTTAAAAAGTCACAGTTTCAGAGTCACAGATGGACGATCTTGCAATAACGCCAAGTAAGAATGGGACAAGTATTGCTTCTTTGCACGCATTAGTTACTATAACCAAATGATCCTATCCGCTAAAATGCGACGTCTTTTCTATTTTCTAGCTGGGAACCAATCGTTGATTTTGTGGACCAACAGTACGATAGCTTCTTCCAAGATGAGTCGGGATTAAATCGTAAAAATATGTCAGACACGCGAGTTCATTGCGTACTACATTTTATCAATCCACAGGGACACGGGTAGGTGTCCAGTTTTGGATTACTATTTTTAAAAATATATTGCATTAAATAGCTGCGAGGTTTGTGGCTATAAACTACGCCTGTTTTCGGGATGCACCATAAAAACACCGAAAGAATACAGAAACGCGCGATGGGGATAATATTTCCAGCCTTATCATATGACGAATCTCTCTCTGTTGCCGAGTTGCATGCATGGTCCCTCTAGAAGCACGAAGACAGCAACTAACAGACAAACTATTCCAGCAAATTATTAGCGACCCAAGTCACAAATTGAACAAACTTTTACCACCTGTAAACGAATGCCAAATTAAGCTTAGGAAGAAACGACTTTTTAAAAATCAACTTTTTAAAACAGACCGATTTAGGAATAGTTTTATAACTCACAATGCACTGAAAATGCGTGCCTAGTTATTGTAGTAGACAATTATAGTCAACTTATACGCACATTGCCATTTGGCTCCAAACTTTTAAATTTTTTAATAGTTATTCTAATCAGTGTTTTAAACTATATGTAATTCTTAGCGTAATTCAGCTTTTGGCTGCAATGCTTTGCAAATAAACCATCTATCTCTATCTATCTGTATTGCGGCAAATCCGGCAACGTTCCTTTTCTAATCTTAAATTGTTTCCATATTCTTTAGGTTAAAACCGTTGGATATAAAAGTGATGAAAGCGCTACATCATAAAGTTAACATAGTGCCAATCATCGCTAAGGCTGACACATTAACTCTTAACGAAGTAAAATCACTCAAACAGCGGGTAATAAAAAGAACAATGATGTAATAGGCTATACTATTAATTGTGAACTGTGCTAAGTGTAGGTATTGCCAAAAGTATTAACAAGCTTTCGTTGGTCCCTACTACCTGAAAAATATAAGGAGAATTTCGATGTTTCGAGAGAAACGGCAGACTTTGCTACAAGATGGGGGGAGGGGGGAGACCAGTATCCTTCCTCTTCAAAACGATAGTATAGGGCGCTTTCCGTTAACACGGCCAGACCGGTCAGAACGGTCAAAATGTTGAATGGAACACAAAACATCTGGGCTTCGGACCTTTCTGACCGGAAAATTTAGATAACATTAGAATGAGGTCCATTTTCGCTAGATATTTGAGAAACATAGACCAGATCTTTCCATTGATACAGAGAAAAGAATTTGGGATCTGACCGGTCAGGCCATTAAATGGAAAGCGCCCTATGAACCCTATACGGTGCACCTGCCCGGGACGAATGAATTTCACAGAATACCTTAAATTGTTAAATCAAATGCTTTAGATCTTAGACGAGATTGATGACCTACAAATAAACGTGTATAACTTTCCTGAATGCGACAGTGATGATGATGAAACATTCCTGGCGTTAAATGCCGACCTCAAGGTTTGTCCTAAACAACTATTTAACTAGACTGTATGTACTATTTGAAACTGGAGTGCTTGTGATAAAGTAGAACAAAGGAAACTATAAGCATTAGAATTATGTACAAGAGCTTTTCACTTGCAATTTCTGCCGCGAATTCTGCTGCGATTTCTAATCTACTTTCTTCTTCCGATGCATGTGAATAAGTAGATGAGTTATGAATACTCAGAGATTCTGTATACACTATTACACTCCATAGGCGTACGGGGCTGATGCTTTTCGGAAGGTGGGGGCAGTTGAAAGTTTGTCCGAATTTTCAGTATGGAGAATTGTAATGAAAGCACGCCTGAATTTCCATGGTTTTCTAAAATGTCGGGTTTTTTGGTGTGTGTGGGCGGGGGGGGGGCAATCGTCCTTGCGCCCTGCCTCGCCTTTGCTCTAATCTGAATATTCATAATTCATCGACTCGCTCACATTCATCAGCAGAAGATCGCACCTAACATCGCAGCAAAGGTTGCAAATGAAAACAGGCCTTAAACCTATAGTTACCTTCGTTCTTTTCTATGCATGCTTCTGTAAAGTCATAGAACAATAGTAACTAGAGGCATGCGAGTTATTTATAGTTGTGAATTGGGTACTAAAACAAACGTTAGCGAAATTTGTCTATGGATGATGAAGCATGAATTGGGCCAGTTATAAAATTCTTTACAAGAAATATTAGTATACAGGTAATGTAATGATATGGTTTCAAGTACAATTTAGAAAAAAAGGTGCACGAGTCATCACGAGTGTTTCCAAGACGATCAAATTGCAAGAGTCAGAAGGTCGAGTGTAATTTGAAGTCTTTAAAAAACTCGCGAATTTTTCCAGATTGCTTCAGAAACCGTACTATTGCTTATTAATGATATACTGTGCATGAAAAAATTATGCAGAAGCAAATGAATGGAAAAAATTGGCGTTTGTTCAAAGTTCAAACTAACCAATTAGAATACTAGAATAGTGATGGAGTATATTTTTCAAGTATATTTTTATAAAAGAAATACGTTGTTTTTATGACAGGCAAGTGTACCATTTGCAGTTGTTGGTAGTAACACAGTAATGGACGTTAAAGGAAAGAAAGTCCGGGGACGAACATATCCATGGGGTGTAATAGACGGTGGGTACAAAATATCGTATGATCACATCGAGCAACCAATTGATAATTGTGTTTCAGAATCTTTTTGCTTGTTAAATAACGAAAATCTTTGTCTTTTTAGTTGAAAATCCTGAACACTCCGATTTCACGAAACTTAGAAATATGTTAATCAGGTATATGAATAAGAATATATGAAGAATATACGAGTAACATGCACATCTTAAGTCTGCGAATATATTTCTATATCGCCCCCCCCCCCCAACCCCACTCCAATTTTTGTTCAAGTCACAGAGCATATCAAGATATGATGGTCTGGTCGTCTGGAAACTAAACAGAAGTCATGTTATGCTTTTGTCGGAGTTTATGTTAATTTGTGCACGCGGTCACGGTGATTGAGCTCATTGTATGTCCAGTATGGATAGCTGAGATGAAACGTGCAACCACGATGAATAATATTTAATGAAGTTGAGACAAAGGCTTTGTACACGGTGACGTACAGTTCAACATCAAACAAAAGTCTTCTATTTTGTAACTTTACTTGCCAGTGCTTCCAGACCATCATATCTTGAGACTATGCACAGGAATACAGTTTGCAAGCAACTTAAGCATGATTGTTTGAAATCAAGCAGTCAATAGTCACACTTCGGTGGCCAAGTGGTTAGCGCACTTGCCTTTCACCTCTGAGGCCGCAGGTTCAAGCCTCGGTGAGTACTTTCTCAATGCGACTCGAACCCAGTCCTCGTGTGAAAAGAGTAAAAGTCAACGCTCTGCCGAAAGTCGTGGGTTTTCCCCGGGTACTCCGGTTTCCTCCCACAGGGAAAGTTGACAGGGTGGGTTAAGTAAAAGGGCCCACAGTAATTGGCATATGCTGTTGTGGTGACCCTGCCCTAGTTGGCAAAGCTAGATAAATAAATAAATAAATAAATATACTTCAATCACAGTAGACTGAAAATATTATAAAATTACGTACTAATTATGATTCCAAAGAAGACAATGACCAATAATTCGATGTCTTCTAGGACACATATGCAAGATCTAAAAGATGTAACTCAAGATGTCCATTATGAAAACTATCGCAGCGCACGAATCGCTAATGGCGGAGACTTATCACCTACACTGGAAACGTAAGCTCAATATCTCATCATAAATTCGTAGGGGGGAGGATTTAATTTGAGATATGTATGTGTGAAGGTGTCAAATCTTTGCCAAATTTCACATACGATTTATATTTTTTTCGGCTTATAAGCACTAACCCAGTGCTCTATTTAAAGAGAGGGATCTCAGTGACGTAACGGAGGAAGAGGGGGCCCTTAGGCATTGTTTGACTGATATATTATATTTATATTGAATATTTATAGAATGTTCTGGAAAATTTCGTGTCTATAACAATAACAGTCTCCAACACATGTCATGTAACAACCGAATAAGAATAACGTTTGTTTTATTTGAGGTGGAATAACAAAATCAGCTACCGTTGTCGATGGAGGCTTCATTATTTAGCATTATTAATTTTGCACTTTCCCATCGATTCTTAACCTGCATTTTTTTTTACGTTTTCTAATTTTCTGGGTGATAGGCCGTGGCTGATGGGGGCCCCTAGCTGTCGGGGCCCCTTAATTTTTGAACTAACCCATTCCAATGAGCGTTACGCCACTGAGGGATCTACTAATGTCCTTAATAATATTCTTTGTTTGTTTTTACAGTAGTTCCCAGAGCAACGGCAGTGATGCGGATATTTCACTTTCTGAGAAAGATAAACAACTTCGAGAAAAGGAAGCCGAGGTAAAGAGATGTTCAATTGAGCTAGTGTCGTTTGTGTTTCACCACGTTCGGCACCTAGTTCTATAGTTACTATATATTCTCCATATTCTTGTTCAATGTAATTATCTATGTCAGTTATGTACAATATTGTCAAGTTATCTACGTGCCAAATTAAAGCTGTCAAAAATAAAACAAATAATTCCCGATCTCATTTTTCTTTCGCAGTTGCTTCGTATGCAAGAGATGATCGCGAAAATGCAAGAGGAAATGAACAGACAGAAACAGGGACAATAAACATTAAACCAGACCAAGAAATTTCAAAATCATGCGTTCTTACGATTGTCTATCACAAAATGTTCTTACAACTTACCTAGCAAGTGTATAGAGGTTAGATCATAGTCTATCACGGTACGATGGTCTGAAAAACTAAACAGAAGTCATCGTTTGATGTTTTTGTCGGAGTTTATGTTAATTTGTGCACGGGCACGGTGATTGAGCTCATTGTATTTTCGTATAGTCAAGTAATCGTCCAATAGGGATAGCTGAGATGAAACGTGCACCACGATGAATAATATTTAATGAATGAGTTGAGACAAATGATTTGTGCACAGTGAGGTATAGTCACAGAATAACGATCAGTAACAGAAGGGCCACTCAGCGGTGCAATGTATCCTCGTTTTTTATGCAAAAATATGCAGTTTACTGGCCAGAAGGCGGAGCAGCCAGCCAGTACAGCGTGTTTATTGGCCAGGAAATGTCATTGACTGGCTAGGAAAATGGCGGCCAACATGCGTAATGTGACATGCGCGAGGACAGAAACTTCAAAGCTTCCAACGTAAGTGGCCCTTCTGTAAGGATCTTTATTCTGTGGTACAGTTCAACATCAAACAAAGGTCTTCTATTTTCAGGCTTTGAAGGTTGCCGCGCTTCCAGACCATCATATCTTGACAGACTATATAGTTAGACTGATGCGATATTGAAAAGAATATCGACTATACCGAATTATGCACATTAGGAAACGTAGTTTAGTCAACTGGCATGTATACCGTATCACAAGCAGCAAAAACAAAGGTGCATGAAGGTAGTCAAACATTAAAATATTTATTTACAACAGTTTATGAATGTTTAAGAGGCAATTTTTTTCGGTGTCGTGTATTTGCGATGAAAAGTGTTCAAAACCTAGGAACCTTTTGGCGTTCCTCTCAAAATTACTTTGTTTTAGCTTTATTTTGTAGTTTACACAGTCAGCAACCTTTTTAAATGTATCTGTGGTTGAGAAACACAACATAATAGTTAAATATTGTCAATTTAAATACAATTATCATTGATGCTGTAAAATTGACGTCATATTTATACAGCAACATAAGCAAAACGTTACTGAACTCCCAGTCATCATTTTCTCTTTAGCGTACCATCTAAAATCTCTTCATTTTAGCACAATTTTACAGATAAATTATTTTCCGGACAATAATTGCCGATAAAAAGAAGATAAAGTTGTCTAGTAAAAACTTTCGATATTTTCGATATGCGAAAAATCGATTATCGATTTTATTGAAATATCGATGTTTATCGAAAATATCGATGGTCATCGATATATCGCATCAGCCTAATATAGAGGTGCCCCAGCGGATTAATCGATCTTGAGAAACTTGACCCTTGATGCTCACGCATTCATAAACTGTTATGGAAAATAAATAGCTAGCTGCATGCATGGGAATAGCAAAACATAGTGCAAAACTTGTATACCAGAACTTCACGCATTTTGTAGTTGTAAATTTTTATATTTAGTTTGGAGAGTTTTCCAATAAAGGCGAATAAAAGAATATATCAAATAAAGTTTTGTGTGATAGACTTATGATAGATGTCCATTGTCACTCAATTTTCATTTTCAACATTTTATTTGGCTTCTCGCAGATTTTTTGCAAAGGTTGTATTTCTAGCCAATCAGCGTTTACAAAATTCAGCCAATTGTAAAGCTGATAAACTGGTTGTGTTCGTGGAGGTCCGCCTTAGGTTTTCCTCTAGTTTGGTAACTTTTGCTTTCCTTATTTGGTTCTGAGCATGCGCCGTAGTGTCGCAAATCAAAACATCAAATTCTTTAAAACAGAAAGCAAAATGGCGTCAAACAAAGGAGTGTCAGTCGAGATTTTGACAAAACTAAAAGCAGATTTCACTTCAGACAAGAAAAATCTCTTGGCGCAGAATGTTTGCAGTAAATACGATACTTTAGATGTGTGTTTGAGCCGCCGTGCCGTTGAAGGAAACCACCATATATACAATTGCAAGGTTTGAAATATTGATCGATTTATCTTTAAATATATATAAAAGTGAAATTAAAAGTAAAATTTTATTATTAAAAATCATAAAATAGTATTTACTGTAGTGTACACGTTGTTGCATTATACATAAAACGTATAATGATGTCATTGTATTGCACTGTTTTTGTACGTGGCTAATTGGATTATTTGTAATCTTTGTTGTTGGTAGAATCATAAATGGTAGCTTTTTGTGAGACATGGACTAATAGTTTGCCAAACCCAATGCTACCATTTGCATTTGCAAGCAACAGTTTAGATAAACCTCTGAATATAAGCAACCCAGAATATAAGCCCCCTCTGTATAAGCCCACCATATTCACTAACGCTCAGGCCATTCTAAATATAAGCCTCCCCCCGAATATAAGCCCCTCTGTGTACTAGCTCATGGGCTTATTATTGGACAGGTATTTATTAAGGCAGCGATGGGGATTCCAACAGCTCAGACAAGTGACAATAATTACATACAGTACCGGTACTTATTATAATATGTTAAGCAACTTGTTTTATTATGTGTTATATACTGTATGTTCAGTGCCGCCGCCAGCTTGATAATTGGGGGACGAATATTCATATCTTTGTGTTCTGCATTATTAACTTCTTTTGAAATCGATTGTTTTTATGGTCTGTGAACACAAATATATGAATATTTGCCCCCCCCCCAATTATCTAGCTGGCGGTGCCACTGTGTATGTTTATATTTCTTTTCGTTCACAGTATAGTTTGCAGGTGAACAAATATAAGCGCAGGGCTTATATTCGGAGGTTTAATGGTATTTTGACTACCAAAATTATGTGACTATAAAGATTTCACACTTGTACAGACATTGTATTTACAGTAACATTCAGTGTAAAATCAATTTAAAGAAAAATTCTATATTTGATATAAAACCTTGCTTGATACACTTATTAACCAATTAACAACATGGGCAGGGCCTACAAACGTGCATAAAAATAATAGCACATGTGTATGTAAAATGTGAACAAATGTGCAAAAACATTTGCAGTTGACGGTTGCTTACAAATGGTAGTAAGGTCTAGCACATTCCCCTTAACTAGTAAAATCATCTGGCATTAGACAGAGTTGACTAGGCAAGCACCACAAATCTATACTTTTGCAACAATCTAATTTAAGGTCAACCCTGAAGTAAAACCAGTCACAAATCAGAAATCGTCTGGCCGATGCTGGATTTTTGCCATCGTCAATGCAATACGACAGCAGTTTGTTCAGAGCAAGAGTATTGACAGTTTTGAATTTAGTCAGATGTACTTATACTTCTGGGACAAGGTTGAACGAGCCAACTACCTCCTTGATGTTTACGAAGAAGTGGCAAGGACGGAAGGAGCAGATAGCAGGACAATGATGTTTTTGATGACAGATCCATCATGTGATGGTGGCCAATGGCATATGTTGGTTAATTTGATTACGAAGTATGGTCTAATGCCCAAGTCAGCATGGCCAGATGCATATAGTGCCACTAGTTCTCGTCGTATGAATTCAATGATTAATACAAAGGTATAGTATTGTGATAGTGGTAATGATGGTGATTGGTAATGATGGTGATTGGTAATGATGGTGATTGGTAATGATGATGGTGGTGATTGGTTAAATGATGATGGTGGTGATTGGTTAAATGATGATGATGATCAATGATGATGATCAATGATGATGATGATGATGATCAATGATGATGATTGATTGATTCAACCCTGTCAACATTCCCTGTGGGGGGAAACCGGAGTACTCAAAGAAAACCCACGACTTTCGGCAAAGCGTTGACAGACTCTTTTCACATGGCTATCATAAGTCATCCCCAATTGGAATTGAACCCACAATATCAAAGGTGAAAGGCACACGCTCTGACGATTGCGCCACTCCCCTGGTGGTAATGATGATGGTGGTAATGATGATTGTGGTGATGATGGTGGTGGTAATGATGGTGATGGTAATGATGGTGGTGGTGATGATTGTGGTGATGATGGTGGTGGTAATGATTGTGGTGATGATTGTGGTGATGATGGTGGTGGTAATGATGGTGGTGGTAATGATGGTGGTGGTAATGATGATTGTGGTGATGATGATTGTGGTGATGATGGTGGTGGTGATGATGGTGGTGGTAATGATGATTGTGGTGATGATGATTGTGGTGATGATGATTGTGGTGATGATGGTGGTGGTGATGATGGTGGTGGTGATGATGGTGGTGGTAATGATGAT